ACACACACACACACACACACACACACACACACACACACACACACACAGTGTTCTGACTGCATGTATGCCTACAGGCCAGAAGACAGGAGCAGATCTCATTATAGATGGTTGTGAGCAACCATGTGGTTGCTGGGAATTGAGCTCAGCACCTTTGAAAGAGCAGCCAGTGCTCTTAACCTCTGAGCCATCTCTCTAGCCAGAAACTGTGTTTCTTTAGATGTCTTTCACAATCAGAGATCTTTTGGGAAGCATCTTATTACTTACATGCTGTGGGGAAAGCACTTTTTTTTTTCTCCTTAAAGGTTAACATTCTTTTCTCACAATGATACTATGCTGGCATTGTAGTTATCAAACTTAGAGCACAGAAACACTCATCAGTGGCTACTGTGTACTGAATGTAAATGAATCAGCTTTGTAATAGTAGGCCAAGTTAGATCTCTCTGGACGATCCCTAGGTATCTTGACACTTGTTTATTACTAAGCTAAGTGCTGTTGTCAGAGCTCAGCATACAAACTGGGTGAGGGTGGTTCTGAGTGGTAACTGCTAGAGTTTTGTATAACTACTAAGAGGTAGAAAGGCCAGGGTGTGACTCAACTGGTAAACGCTTGCCTAGTGTATGTGGAGCCCCGGGTTCAATTCCCCCGCCCACATAGAAGAGGGCGTGGTAGTGTGTGCGTATAATGGCAGAAGCTGAAAGGTCACTTCTCTCCTAGTACCACATAAACAAAGTATGGTGGTACTTGGTTGTAATTTCAGCAATTAGGAGGTAGAGGCAGAAAGATGAGAAGTTTAGGGCTGTTCTCTGATAAATAGTGAATTTGAGGCTTGCCCAAGCTGCATGAGACGCTGTCTCCAAAACAAAACAAAACAAATACAAAGGTATTATTGGCAATTAGGCACCTAATTTTCTAAATTACATTTTTTTTTTCTGTTTCATTTTGCCACTTAACATATTTCCATACACTGTGTGGCAGGACCTAAATTTTGGAGGAGATATAACATAGTTTAAAAACTTCTGTTGAGGTGGAGAGGTTGTTGTTCTGCTTGCCAGTTATGCTTTTGGGCATATAAAAACATGTTTTTATGAAATATGTGTCATTTATTATGTAAGTGCACCTGGAAATTCTTTCAGCTATAAATCACCTAACCAATGTGTCCTAATTGACAGGGATTTAGTCTCATCCGAGAGAGTAGTGCAGTCAGCATACCATCAAATTCTTTATTATCTTTTGCTCTTGCTTTTGTGTCACAGGATGTCACTGCTTTACAGCTTTACATCCACAACTGTGGTTGTAGAAAGAGGCCTTTTTTATTGGGGGGGGGGGGGTTTGAGACAGGGTTTCTCTGTGTAGCCTTAGCTGTCCTGGACTCACTTTGTAGGCCAGGCTGGCCTCGGACTCACAGAGATCTGCCTGCCTCTGCCTCCCTGAGTGCTGGGATTACAGGCATGTGCCACTGCGTCAGGCCAGAAAAGGGTCTTTTCATTATCAGAATTAAAATTATTTGCCAAAAGCTCTCTAGACTTCTCAATGTCTTAATGGTTGATTCTGGTCCTTGTACTCAACTTTGCAGCTAATCACTGTTGAAAGAAAATATGATTAATATGATTGACTTGCTCTGAGACTGACTTGGTCTAACATAGTTGACTTGATTGCACCCCCTTTGCTAGAGACAGCTCACTTCTATTGACAAGCTAATAAAATGAGGATTCTGTTAGCATGGAGGAGGATGAAGGTGTGCATTCTGCTTGCTGTGAACAGATTTGATTCCCTCAATAACAACTACAGTGTAAAACCTGCTTTGAACACAGGTGTTGTCCTTCTGCTTACTGAATTTAGTGAAATTGTCCCAAAATTATATTCTAAAAGATGTGCTTACTCTAAGATGATTTTTGTTTTACTATGTATACTAAAATTATTTTAACTTTTTTAACTCTACAGCAACAAATGGTCACTCAGAATGCTTACGGTTATTAATAGGAAATGCAGAACCACAGAATGCAGTAGATATTCAAGATGGAAATGGGCAGTAAGTTTCAATAATTTTTAAATTTTGGGCTTTTTTTGAGACAGTGTCTCATTATATAACCCAGGCCTCCATCCCACATTCTTACTACCTCATCCCTTTTAATGCTGGGATTACAGGCTTATGGCACCATACCTTCCTTTTAGAAAGCTGGTAAAATACTAAATATTCTACTACTTTGGTCCCTGTTTTAGTAAACACGTCAAAGCTTGTAACTGAAAAATGTTATGTCACAAAAGTGCATATGTAGGAAATAAGGTATTTTAAGTGGTAGAACTAAACCTCATTCTGTTACTGTTCAGGACACCTCTTATGCTGTCTGTTCTCAACGGGCACACGGACTGTGTATATTCACTACTGAACAAAGGAGCAAATGTAGATGCCAAAGATAAGTGGGGAAGGACAGCACTGCATAGAGGGGTAAGCCAAAATCAAACTAAAGTTGGTCCTAGTGACACCCCCATAATATATTTAATACACCTAAATTATTTTTGCAGGCAGTTACAGGCCATGAAGAATGTGTAGATGCATTACTTCAACATGGTGCTAAGTGCTTACTACGGGACAGCAGGGGCCGGACACCTATACATTTGTCAGCTGCCTGTGGACACATTGGAGTTCTTGGAGCCCTTTTGCAGTCAGCAGCATCTGTGGATGCAAATCCAGCCATAGTAGACAGTCATGGGTATACAGCACTTCACTGGGCTTGCTACAATGGTTAAGTATCAGATAAAACCTGCATTGAGTGCCTGCCTACTAGGCACCACGTGAAAACAAGCAGTTCCTAATGCATTGTGGGATTGAGGACAAGAGCTTCTTTATAAGGCATGTTTTTAAGATGTACAATCTTAAAATGTAAGATTAGTAGAAAGCCTAAGAGAATAATCTACTCTGTAGTTACTACTCCTGTTCTTTATCTTGCTAAAAACAGGTCACTAATTTTCAAAAGTACTTGAGATAAGCCTTTACATTTTTCCTTTAAACTCACTTTTAATGATTTAATGATTATAGCACACTAGCCAAAGATTGTCCCTGACTCAAAGGAATTACTGTATATTACCACTTAAGTTCGTGTGTGTGTGTATACATACATACATACATATATGTGTGTATATATATAAGTCTGATATACTGAGAAAGTATCCACAGATGTGAATTTTATTCAAAAAATAGTGAGATCAACTTGTAAAGCAATTTTTTTGTTGTTTTGTTTTGTTTTGTTTTGTTTTGTTTTGTTTTGAAATAAGGTTTCTCTGTCTTTGCCTAGCTCACCTAGAACTCACTCTGTAGACCAGGCTGGCCTCAAACTCAGAGACCCACCTGCCTCTGCCTCCCAAGTGCTGGGATTAAAGTGTGTGCCACCACCATCTGGCTAAAGCAGAATATTTTATTGACTGATTTTTGTTTTTTAATGTATCAGCGACAATTAACCATTTAAAAAAAAAAACAAAACACTGAAGTATGTTTCCTAAGATAGAGAATTTATTTGTTATTTGGAGAGTTACTTTATTTTATAACATTTCTTTTTTTTTAATTTTTATTAATTATACTTTATTCACTTTGTATCCCCCCTGTAGCTCCCTCCCTCCTCCCTTCCCAATCCCTCCCTTCCTCCCCTCTTCTCCACACATGCCCCTCCCCAAGTCCACTGATAGGGGAGGTCTTCCTTTCCTTCCTTCTGATCCTAGTCTATTAGGTCTCATCAGGAGTGGCTGCATTGTCTTCCTCTGTGGCCTGGTAAGGCTGCTCCCCCCTCAGGGGGAGGTGATCAAAGAGCAGGCCAATCAGTTCATGTCAGAGACAGTCCCTGTTCCTATTACTATGGAACACACTTGGACACTGAACTGCCATGGGCTACATCTGTGCAGGGGTTCTAGGTTATCTCCATGCATGGTCCTTGGTTGGAATATCAGTCTCAGAAGAGACCCCTATGCCCAGATTCTTTGGTTCTGTTGCTCTCCTTGTGGAGAGCAGGTCTTACTGTTTCCCACTTCAGAAAAAGGAGAAAACAGGGAACAAGTCAGGAGCCTGCCACAGAGGTCCTCTGAAAGGCTCTACCCTGCAGGGTATCAAAACAGATACTAAGACTTAAGGCCAACCTTTGGGCAGAGTGCAGGGAATCTTTTTTTTAACTTGTTTAATTTTATTTTATGTGCATTGGTGTGAGAGTGTCAGAACTGAAGTTACACACAGTTGTGAGCTCCCATGTGGGTGCGGGGAGTTAAACCCTGCTCCTTTGGAAGAGCAGACGGTGCTCTTAACTACTGAACCATCTCTCCAGCCCCTTATTACATTTCTTACAAGTCTGTGTGTGGACTGCTTTTTCTACTCTATCACTGGTGAACTTGGGCTTTCTAAGTACATTCTGTATCAGAAACAGAATTCTGCACAAACTGCATGCCTGGTTGCCATCAAAATAAAAGAGTGTCTGATTTTCAGACAAGCAAAATTTTAGTGATTCTGAATTGAACTGGAAGAAATGGATGTTAGTTAATGGAATAAGAGACCAGACAGTCTAAAATTAATGACATATTTATAGCCAAATGCCTGCCTTATTATTTGACATTATCAAAGTGAAATATATTGAATGGTTTTACTCTGGTTAGTAAGTTTTATACAGAAAATAGAAATACTCCAATAAAATCAAACAAGCTTTTTTTCTAAAAATGAAATGATAACCTGGTTTTAGAAAAGGATTAGCTATATACTTACTAAGCTTAAAGTTTAAAATTTCAGTTGATATAGTCATGTGCTTATATAGATATAATTTTGAGTATTTTGAGTATTAAAATTTAATTTTGAGTATTAAAATATAATTTTAATATATATAATATATATAAAATATAATTTTGAGTATTAAAATATAATTTTGAGTATTAAAATTTCAAAAGTTAATCAGCCTTTTTGCCTCTCCTAAGCAGTTGCTCTCTGAAACATTAACAGAGGTCCTGAGTGTCAGCCTGGTCCCGCCCAGTGCTGATTCCTGGAGATGTAGATAAAGTAGTCCATACCCAGTTCAGACAGTGGCTCTCAGGGTTTGGGGTTTACAGATGTTAGTAATGTCTTCATTGTTAACAGGAACTGAAAAGTTTAAAAATCTTTACAAGAGTAACTTTTTGAGGGACCCACAAAATGGCTCAGCAAGTAAAGGTACTTGCTACCAAGTTTGACAAACTAAATTTGGTTCTAGGAATCCGTATGATAGGAGAGAACTAACTCTCAGGCTAACAACATCTGAAAGTTTTGGTTGGGATTTATTGTTTTGTTACGTGGTTTGGTTTGGTTTGGTTTGGTTTGGTTTGGTTTGGTTTGGTTTGGTTTGGTTTGGTTT